AGCTGAAATTTTGCATGCTGGTGTATTTTTACTCGAATATTACAGGAAAAATATAGAGAACTTGATATGTAATGATGGCCATAGCGTTGTCAAGGAAAAACTAAAAAAATTTTAAAAAAAAATTTTTTTTCTCTAACTTTTACATTATTTGACCTAATGAGCTGAAAATTGGTATCCTAGGGTATTATTACAGTCTGACGACAACAAATTTATTTAAGAAACTTTTTGAAAAAAAAATCAAAAAAATTTTTTTTTAAATTTTTTTTTCAAAAAAAAAAATTTTTTTAAATTTTTTTTTAGTTTAAACACGTGGCATTAAATATTTTAAGGAAGAGAGTGAAATTTTAAGAGAATAAATGAGAGATTGTTTTCTGACTTTAATTTCTTAACTAAAAAAAAAAAAATTGGACAAGTGCGAGTTGTACTCGCACTGCAATGGCGGGTTCCGTACACAAATATTAAAACAATACTTGCAACATTTATCGGTAATTGATAGAATTAAAATAAACAATTAAAAAAATATATTAAAATCATTTGATAAAAAAAATAACTAAAAAAAATTAAAGTATTGTATATCTAATATTGTAAACAATAATAAGCAGAGGAACTATAATTTTGAAAATTTTGTTCCTCTGCTTATTATTGTTTACAATATTAGATATATACAATACTTTAATTTTTTTAGTTATTTTTTTTATCAAATGATTTTAATATATTTTTTTAATTGTTTATTTTAATTTTATCAATTACCGATAAATGTTGCAATTGTTTTAATATTTGTGTACGGAACCCGCCATTGCAGTGCGAGTACAACTCGCACTTGTCTAATTTTTTTTTTTTATTAATTGTCTGACGGAAAGAGACTTAAAAAGTAAATAAAATTTTTTTTTATTTAAGTCTGATTTTACTGATTATTTACTTAAAAATTACTGTTTGCAGTTAAATTTCAAAATAGCTGTTATTTTTTGTCAATTTTCATTAACTACACATTCGAATATAATATTTAAATCATAAAATAATTGAATTCTAATATTTAACTGAAATTTGGTTATTTTTAAAGTAATTTTCATTTCAAAATGAAAACTTTTTATAAATTTTAAAATTGAAATAAAAGAAAAAGATTTCCATTAAATAAGCGTCAATTGAATATCACTGATCATAAATAAATTTCACTAATTCGAATTTAGAGTAAATTTATAGTTCCTATAGATATTGATTCAGATAATTACTTATAAATATATTTAATGAAAGCATACCTTAACCAACTAATTAATATTTTTTCCATCACTAATTTTAATTCTCGAAAACATAAAAAATTTCACGTTCCATATCATAAATCTTCCATAAAAAAAAAATTTACACTGTCAAATTTTTAAACACCAAAAAAAAAAAATCAAAAATTATTAAGTCAATTTTAATTGATCGTTTAAAATAGAAAATTTAATGGTTCAATTTGAACGGAAAACAATTCTGTTTGGATCATAAATTCCATCTGACAAGTACAAGTTTATACAGTTAATAAAATGTGTCACCAATTGAGAATATGTCCATAAAATCGAATATCAAATGTACAATATAGTATATACAGAGATTTTTTTTCACAAAGAAATTTTCTCCAATACGAGTAAAAAATAAGAAACTATTTTATTCTCAAAAAGAACAAAATAAAAAAAAATACAATATTCTTACGTAAGGCAAAGTGGATCAGAGAGAGGGAGAGGGAGAGGGAGAGGGAGAGAGAGAGAGAGAGAGAGAGAGAGAGAGAGAGAGAGAGAGAGAGAGAGAGAGAGAGAGAGAGAGAGAGAGAGAGAGAGAGAGAGAGAGAGAGAGAGAGAGAGAGAGAGAGAGGACTAAATTTAAACCTCAAGCAGCTTATAAAGCAACCGGTATATAAACTTATGCAATTTACACGAAGGAAAATAAAACAGCAAAAAAAAGAAGAAAGCAAAATAAGTAAATAAAAATAAATAGAAAACGTGTGTATGTGTGTTGTTCTGTTATTCTTATCGTTATAACCTGAAGAAATTTTTAGTTTCCTTTCTCTCTCTTTCTTTCTCTCTCTCTCTCTTAGTATATAGAGAGTTGAAAAAAAAACCAATACGACGATCTTCTTTTATATCGTAATTGGATAGATTACTTCCACCTCAACCTCGATCTTATAATTGGATAGATTTAATCAAACTTCTAGCTGTGGCAACTAAATGTTTCCCTCAGACATATCATCAACCAATTGGATACGTTGCATTAACGAATTAATTATAAAACAATATATTAACTTTTGATTCATGTCAAGAACTTTATATTTTCTATTGTAAACACTGCGGATGTGTAATTTAGTATGAGAACAGAAATTTACAAGTTGGAAATGAGTCTGTGAAAATAAAACCTGTTTTTCTCTTAATTATAATGCACATTTCTTAATTTTTACAATTTATTTTTTAACATTTTTTCAAATTTTTTTCAACTTGTATTTTTTCAATCAAAATTAAATAAAACGTTCAGTTTAGAATGTTAAGTAAGAATGTAATGACCTAATTAAAATAAAATATTTTCATGGTAATAGGGCTCGAATCAGTGAAAGTGTTTAAAAATACGGACATTACGGACCAAAAAATTTTTCAAAGAAATTTAATTTCAAAAAATAATTATTTCTAAAAATTCACGCATTATTACTTTTAATATTCATTTATTATCTAAAATTTTAACTGAAATTCATTTTTAAATCAATTTTTATTACAAAATTCTACTACAATTTAATTATTTAACTACAAAAAAAAATAATTTATTGAATTATTCAATGTTTCTTAAAATTCAATTCCCATAAAGAATTGTAACAACAAATTTTTAAATAATTGAATTCATTTGACAAATTTTAATTACATTTTTCGAGGAATTCGATTAAAATTTTATTAATAATAATTGAAATTCTGCAATGAGTTTTATTATTTATGAAAATAATTGACTTCCCCTGAATGATTTTATTTTTAATGAAAATAATTAAACTTTAAAACATTTGATTTTTTCGAAAGAAATAATATGCAAATTCTATTTTAAATAATTGAATTCGTGTGGAATTTTTATTTTTTTGAAAGATAATTGAATGTTCATGTAGAATTTTATCAAATACTTTGTTTAATAATTGAAAATCATTGAATTAAGAAAAATTTTTCGAAAATAATTGAAATTTTGCCATGAATATCCTTAAAATTTTTGAAAATTATTCAATTTTATAACTTTTGAAAATAATTGAATTCTTGTGATGAATACTATTACTTATGGAAATAATTGAATTTTGTAAAGAATTTTGTTAAAATTCCTGAAATTAATTGAATTTTGTCAAAGAGTTTTTCTATTCATTTATAAAGATATAATTAAAATTTTGACATTGTTTTTTAGATTTTTGGAAAATAATTGAATTTCTGGAAAAAATTTTAATATTTATTAAGATAATTGAATTATTTTTCAAAGATTGAAATTTAATTTAAAACCTTTTCAAAATTCAACTACTTCTAAAATTCACGCTCTAATGGTTTTAATATTCAATTATAATCTAAAATTTTAACTGTAAACCATTTTTAAATCAATTTTTATTAGAAAATTCTACTAGAATTCAATTATTTAAATAAAAAAACAATTTATTGAATAATAGCATGTTTCTTAAAATTCAATTCTAATATAGACTTTAATTAATAAATTTTCAAATAATTGAATTCTATCAACGAAATTTAATAAAATTTTTAAGAATTTTTTTTAGGAATTCGATTAAAATATTGTATTAAAAATAATTGAAATTCGGCAATGAGTTTGATTATTTGTGAAAATAATTGAATCCTTAAGACGAATTTTATTACTTTTGAAAAATATTTAATTTTTGCGAAGAATATTATTACTCTTGAAAATAATTGAATTTTTGCAATAATTTGTAACTTTTACAAAATTGAATTTTTTTTCGCCTTTTTAACTAGAATTCTTCCATAAATGCATTTTTTAAAATAATTTTTGAAAAGTTCTTTAAGAATTTTCAAATTAATTTGTTTACAATTCAATTTTACAAAATTTCAATTCTTCGTAAATTCTTCAATTAAATATTTATTAGAAAATAAAATCTTCAAATAATTTAAAAAAAAATCCGCAATTAAAGTTTCTCAAAAAAAATTAATTCCACAGAATAGTTAGTTAAAAATATGAAAAATTAACATTTTTAAAGATTTTAATCTGAAACCTTTTCAAAATTAAATTATTTCTAAAAATTGACGCTCTAATGCTTTTAAAATTCAATTGTAATCTAAAATTTTAACTGAAATCCATTTTTAAATCAATGTTTATGAGAAAATTCAACTAGCATTCAATTATTTAAATACAAAAATAATAATTTATTATAAAATTTCATGTTTCTTAAAATTCAATTCCCATAAAGAATCGTTAGCAACAAATTTTCAAATAATTGAATTCTATCAATGAATTTTAATAAAATTTTTAATAATTTTTTCGAGGAATTTGATTAAAATTATATTAAAAATAATTGAAATTCTGCAATGCGTTTTATTATTTACGAAAATAATGGAATTCCTAATAAGAATTTTATTATTTACGAATATAATTGAATGCCCGTAAAAATTTTATTATTTATGAAAATAATTTAATGATTGCGAAGAACTTTATAAAAAAATATGTAAATAATGAAATTCCTGTGGAATTTTTATTATTTTTTGAAAATAATTAAAAGTTTGTTTAGAATTTTATTAATTTTTTTTTAAATAATTGAATTCTTTTGGAAAATTTTGTGAAAATAATATAGATATTGAAAATTTAAAAGGTAAAGAAATAAAAAAAATTAATTAAATCAAAAAATAAAATAAAACGAATCGAAAAAAGTCCATCAATTCCTTCTCATTTTTCACTGCAATGTAAAAATAATACGGAAAAAAAATATTAAATCATAAAAATTCCAATAAAAAGAAAAAATTAATGCTTGACGTGTGCTTGCTTTGGTTTTACAGACGGAAACAAGATGAGGTGCAAAACCTGGAGGAGACAATAAGAGCACGTTCGGAAAAACATAAGAAAGCGGGAATAGAATTAGATGCAACGTGTCATATATGTTTAAAAACAAAGTTTGCCGATGGTGTTGGGCACATCTGCAATTACTGCAGCATCCGGTGCTGCGCACGCTGCGGTGGGAAGGTCTCTCTTCGTTCGAATAAGGTAGGAAATGACGAATAATTTTTTATTTTTTCTTCGTTATATACGTACACGAAATTATTATATAGAATATATATATATATATATATACACTGATATCTAATGACAAAAAATAAGATATATATCAACTTGACAAATGACTGTGACAAAATGATAAAGTAAAAGATATATATCATACTGTCAATTCAACAAAATTCCCTGTCCCCTATTCATCTATACTCGTTTTTTCTGCTCTTTTTTTTGTTATAACCCTATTTATAAATTTTTGTTTACCCATCCCGAGTCGAAATTTAGACCCTACTTAGCCTCTGAAAATGTAGGGCTTATTCAGGTTTAAAAGTCGTAAAGTAGGGTCTGATTTCAATACAATTTTTAAAAACTAGACCCTCCTTTGACTCCCAAAACAGGCTGAAATTTGCCAACCCAATGGGAAATTTACAACTGGCGTAGTACTGCGCCAGCACTGGCAGCACTGGCGGCAAGGCTGAGAGCCAGCACTGGCATGGCACTGGGATGATAACGCCGTCCGGCGCTGCCGAAGTACTGTCTGTCAGTGCTGCCAGACAGCGCTGGCGCAGCACTGGACCAGTGCTGGCTGAGAATATTGCCGCAATAAATGCCGTATTGCTATTCATTAGTCGTAAATTAATAATTATAAATAATTTAACAACAAAATGGTAAATAATATTAATAAATAGTTATTATTCATAAAATATTTCTCTTCTTAAAGAAATTGCATTAAAGATGGAGACTAACAATGGATATAGTAAATGAAGTAGAAAAAAATTGTTTATAACATTTAAAAATTAAATAATAAACAATTACAGTAAGTGTGCATTAGATTTTCATATTTTAGTACCTAACGATTGGAATCTAGAAATATCGCAAACCTATGAAAATAAACAAAATTGCTGACGAGGGGAATCGAACCTACGACTTACGGACTAACAGACTAACGCTCTAACCACTATGCTAACGACACATGTGTACAGTAAAGAATTAATATCAGTATCATTCAGACATATAATTATTGAGTCAGAGATGAGAAAAAAATAGGGATACGTTACAAATAATAAATTGAAATAAAATAAATTAAACTAAATTTTTAAAAATTAAATTACTTTACTTATTGCATTTAACATTTTACGTAATTCTTAAATTACGTGGTAATTTTTTAATAATTTTTTATTCATAGTAAGAAGTATAATAGTATTTTAATAGGAACCAAATTATTATTGAGATTAAAGTTTAAATTTTGTTTATAATTTTAATTTGTTTAAATAATTTATTATTTACAAAATTAGAGAATTGTGTTAAATTGTTATTATTAAATTTAATAAGAATAAAAAATGAACAACTGAAAAGTAAAATATTAATTTTTTTTAATAAATTTATATTTATAAACATTTATAAACTTTTTTTATAATTTTTTTCAAGTTTATGTCAAAAAAGCAATGTTGGCAAAGAGCGTTGTGAACAATTTTTCTATACTCAGCCAGCACTTGCCGCCGTGGCTTGTCCAAGCTTTGGCGAAACAAAAATTCTGTACTGCGCCAGCACTAATTGTCGAGGCTCGGCTAGACTACGCCGAACAATCGTCTGAGTACTAAGCCAGTGGTGAACATCGGCACTACACTGGCATTTCCCATTGGGAATCTTCCATTTGGAGAAGCAAAGGAGGGTCTACTTCTAAGAAACCTATACCGTACTTTTATACCTCGTAGACCCTACTTTCATACTCCTAGACCCTACAATTAGAAAAAGAAAAATTTAAAGATTTGCTCAGATTCAATTGAAGCACTTGGGATGAGTAAAAGTGGAATTTTATGTGTTTTATAGCGTCTATATACACGAAGTGTATATAGACGCTATAAAACACATCAGTATTTATGAATTTGGAGTACTTTTTGCATTCGCAGTGTTTCAAGTAATGCATTAAAAAATAATTCAAAATTTTCTTTTAGAATGTAGGGTCTAGGAGTATGAAAGTAGGGTCTACGAGGTTTAAAAGTACGGTATAGGTTTCTTAGAAGTAGACCCTCCTTTGCTTCTCCAAATGGAAGATTGGCAAATTTCCGCCTATTTTGGGAGTCAAAGTAGGGTCTAATTGTATTAGAATTAGACCCTACTTTACTACTCCTAACACTCAATAGACCCTGAAAATTCAGGGTGAAAGTAGGGCTTAAATTTCGACTCGGGATTCCATTTTTTTCTATATGGTAAACAAATTTGGTATTCGTATTTAGAAGGGAAATTATTTTGCCTTTTTTGTTTAGATTTTTTTTTAATTCTTGATTTTTATAAATATTTATATATTTTCTTATATTTTTACTTTTTTATTTATTTTTTAATTAGCGTGCAGCTAACTTCTTACATACTTTTTTTAAAATAAAATTAGCAAATTTAAAAAAAATTGAATTTAAAAATTTTTAATTCAAATTTTTTTTTATAAAAATAAAATATGAATTGGAATATAGATTATTGCTATTATAACAAAAATAATTATATATTCTGAGACAGGGGATTCAAAGAAAAGTCAGACATTTTTATAAAAAGTACTGAAAAAAATTAAATTTTTAGAATTCATAAGAAAATTATGAATTTGGTGTCAATTCTTTCTTTTTAGATAACTTAACTCTTTCTTCTTCTTAATTATTCTGTTTTATATCATAAAATTAATACTTAGAAATTATTTATTGGATCATTTTACTTAAAAAAATATTACAAAATTAATTCAATTTTAAAAGAGTTGCGTTTACAATTCTCATAAATAGATCAACTTAAAAAAGTTTTAATTTGAAATTTGATAAAATTTCAATTTTTAATGAATTTAATCAGAAAATTTTAAAAACTTAGATTTTTGCAAAATGTTAATAATTCAAATTCTTCTTAAAATTAGTTAAATTTGTCAAAATATAATTAATTAATTTTATTAAAAATAATGGATTTATAGAAAAATTTTAATTAAAAACATTTTAATAAATAGAATTTTGTAGAAGTTGCAAATAATTGCAGAAATTCAATTATTTTTAAAAGTAATAAAATTCTTCGCAGAAATTTAATTATGTTCAAAATTTTTTAAAAATTCTCATCAAAATTTCAATTATCTTTAGAAATAATTAAATTATTTTCCGAAATTAAATTATTTTCAAAAATTTCCCTCAATTCAATGATTTTCAATATCGACTATTTTCATAAAATTTTTCAAAAGAATTCAATTATTTAAGAAAAAATTAATAAAATTCTAAGCAAAGTTTCAATTATTTTCAAAAAATAATAAAAATTTCACATGAATTTCATTATTTACACATTTTTTTATAAATTTCTTCGCAATCATTCAATTATTTTCATAAATAATAAAATTTTTACAGGGATTCAATTATTTTCGTAAATATTAAAATTCCTTTTAGGAATTCAATTATTTTCACAAATAATAAAACTCGTTGCAGAATTTTTTATTTAAATAATTGAATTATAGTAGAATTTTCTAATAAAAATTGATTTAAAAATGTTTTTAGTTAAAATTTTAGATTATAATTGAATTCTAAAAGCATTAGAGCATGAATTTTTAGAAATAATTGAATCTTGAAAAGGTTTCAAATTAAAATCTTTGAAAAAGAATTCAACTATCTTAATTAATATTAAATTTTTTTCCAGAAATTCAATTATTTTTAAAAAATCTAAAATAAATTTAAAAAATTTCAATGATATCTTTATAAATGAAAAGCAAAACTCTTCGACAAAGTTCAATTATTTTCAGGAATTTTAATAAAATTCATTGCAAAATTCAATTATTTTCATAAATAATAGTATTCATCACAAGAATTAAATTATTTTCAAAAGTTATAAAATTAAATTATTTTCAAAAATTTTAATAAAATTCATAGCAAAATTGCAATTATTTTTATAAATTTTTTCCTAATTCAATAATTTTCAATTATTAAACAAAAGATTTAATAAAATTCTACACGAACATTCAATTATCTTCCAAAAAAATAAAAATTTAACAGGAAGACAATTATTTTCATAAATAATAAACTCATTGCAGAATTTCAATTTATTTTTAATACAATTTTAATTAAATTTCTCGAAAAATATAATTATTTTTAAAAATTTGATTAAAATTCTTTATAAGTATTAAATTAAAAAAAACATTTAATTATTCAATAAATTATTTACTTTTGTATTTAAATAATATTGAATAATTTTGAAAAGGTTTCAATTTAAAATATTTGAAAATTTGAATTTTCTATACTTTTAACGGGCAATTCTGAAGAATAAATTTTTTTGGAAAAGTTTAATTTAATTTTTTTTTTAAAATAATTTAATTAATTTTCTAATATATTTAATTGAAGAATTTCTGAATAATCGAAATTTCGTAAAATTGAATTTTAAACAAATGTACTTGAAAATTATCAAAAAACTTTTTCAAAAACTATTTTAAAAATAGTTGATTTAGAGAAGAATTTTAGTTAAAAATTCTAGAAAATAATAATTGAATTGAAATTTTTTATATTATTTCACGAATAAATGGTCAGAAAATATTTCGACCCTTTTTGGATTTTTATTTTTCTTCAAAATTCAAAGATTTAAAAATCTATCTGTAATTTTGTAGAAAATATGTTTTGGTGTATCAACAAAAAATTACCAAATGCAAAAATTGATTTTTACGATTTTTTAAGCACTTTTTTTTAACGAAAACATTGTTTTCAAAATGCTAAAAATATCATTGTTATTCAATTTTTTTATATGGAAATTCGCTTGTTTATTTATCTAACGAATTTCAAATCATAATTTTTTAAAATATAAAATATAAAAAATTAAATTATGATAAAATTAAGATTTGAAATAAGTTAGAGAAATAAACAATGTTTAATACTTTTTAAGAATTTTAAATTTTTCCAATTAAGTTTTAAAATTAAAGTTTTCTATTTAAATATTTTTTAAGAATTAGTAAAAGGGAAGTTGTAAAATCTTTTTTTTCGACTATTATGCACTTTAGT